AGCTGTGAATGTGCAAATAGCCAAGGTTCCTTGAGAGGAAGGTAGTGAAGTAAGAGGACATTTCGAGAGTAAAATTGATGGAGACAAGGGAGGAAATTGATAGTTAGAAGACAGGAAGCAGCCAGCAAGGCGATTATACCCACCTCGCCTGTATGATTTAGAGCCCTCTTACCATATATTACAACAGAGAGAATTCATCAGTGCACAGATATATGGCAAGAGCCAATTTACACTTTAAGTTTCAGTGATTTCCTCTGATGGATTTGCTGGAAAATATGGCTCCTCTGTGAATACACTCTCACTCCTATATGGCTCTCATATTGCATTAAGTACAGCTGCTATGTGATGAAAGGAAGTGATGACACATGAACAAACACATAATGCCGGTACCATGGATACCAATCTAATGTTTTTCAGCAGCACTGGTCCAATTGGCTAATAGGAGAACATGACAAAGTTGTAATTGCTCTTACCTTTTTACCTTTTTTCAAATGCCTCATTTGTAATGGGTTTTATTGGTTTTGTCTCGTTCTGCTGGGAGACGGCATCACAGTATGTTAAGGGCGTAACATTTCCGTCACACGCTTGAGGCATTCAGCCAATCACAACGCACTGGATAGCTGGCCAATCAGAGCAAACCTCACATTTTTAGAACGATGAGCTTTGTAAAAATCGACGCGTTTCAGAAAGGCGGGGCATAGAGGAGAAACAATAATGTACATTATATGGAAAATAATTTGAGCATTACTCAAACCCCTGTGTAACCCAGCGGGAGTTAATCAACGGAGACTCAGGATGTATAAGATGATAAAGGAGCCCAGAATCAGTTTATACTATACTGAATACTGGTCACGGTTGAGAAAGATATTTTGCGAGCCTTGAAGATGAAAGCTTTTCCTGTCCACCAAAATTCTGATGCAAGATTCACATGTTAAAATGAAATGACACAATTCAGTTTCAGACAGATTTCCAGATTATAGCTTCACAGAGAGATTTTTGATCCGTTTATTTAGTTATTGTATTATGTTTTGCAGCGTTAAGGCAAAGTGACAGCTAAGAATCAGTGTTTCAGAATATTAAGCACTGGGTAGACAAGCAGGCCTTTGTCTTTAGGATTGAGCGAAAGAAAGGGGGCGAGAGAACAACAGAAACTGAGTGGAAAGGAGCAAACCATTGTTTATAAAGCATTTATTAAATCTAAAAAAGATATGACGTGTGAGATAGATCCTTTGTTTCATGTGACATGCTTTAGACTGTCAACAGCCTTCCTGGACTTGCAATCGACCTTGGAGCCCAGTTGTATGTGATCAGAGCCTTGAATGCTGCGTGTCAAGCCATGCAATTTTCTAGAGAGGTCTAATGTTAAGATATTACTCATATCCAACATTTCCACAAGAAAGAGAATAGTAAACCACTCGAGTAGGAATATATATGCATATTAAAATAACATAAGCAGGTGAAAACCTTGGTTTGTAGGTGACACAATGAATATTTTGAAGTAATATAGAATATTTTGAAGTAATATGTTTTACATAAGTGTGTTGTGATGATAAATAGCTGAGAAGGTTTGTGTTACATCATTCAGTTTGCAAAACATTATTGTTGTTCAATGTTGTCTTTGACAACACTGCCATCTTGTGGCAGATGCATGTGCTTTAACTGAGTTCAATTTGACTAACAAAGTGTTGAGTGGCATTAAGATGATGAACCATTTAACAGATGAGTAGCATATATTACTCAGTATGTCACTAATTCCTCATGCTATATACATTTTGTAGTCATTCAAATTATTTATTTATTTTAATATATATATATATATATATATATATGTGTGCAACCCAATATCTGTTCCTGACTATATAATGCTACATTTTCAACACTTCAAATACACAATGTAATACCAAGCTCATTTCTATTAAACACTATTAAACTGTGTACACTAACTTTTTCTGGGATATGGTGGTATTGGTTGGACATAGACCACAGCTGAAATCAGATGTATTATGGAAATTTGTTAAATAAAGCTGTTAATTTTTTTTACAGTTAGAATTATGATTAAACAAAATAATAATAATAGGCTCAGCATTGAGTGATGTCTAGAAAATTAGATAAAAATATCATAATTGGCATATATGCCATCCTAAAAGGTATGGATTTACTGCATCCAAACATTATCAGAGTGATGATTTAACGGAATAAGCTTCTATTAGACACATACTAATTTACTGGCTTGTGAACTGTTAATTCATATAAAGACAAACAAAAAAAAGATTAAACTTCTGTCAGTGTTTGTTTACTCACTGTCATGTTGTTCCAAGTGAATAATGAGAGATGTTTCATTTTTTGGGTGAACTATCCTTTGAAGTGATCTGACATTGTTGTTTTATCACTTCATTTGACGCTGTGACAGTTGCTGTAGCTGTGCATTGAATAGATTACAATAGCTTTATCGTTCACAATAACGATTATTACTCACTTGTTATTGTGTGCATATATCAAACTGATGTTTTGTTGCGCCCATGTATAGAGAACTCTATACATTGTTTTGAACTTTTCTGTCTAGACAGGAAACACAACGACATGAAGTGGAAGGTGGGACTTACAGTTGTTTATTCACTTAAATACCATAGTACATCAACACAGCCATTTCCACACACAACAATATAGTTAGGTTATCACCAGTCTTTATTGTTCCTGTTCTGCACCGCAACAGAACATGCGTGTTAGTTCAGCTCCGTGCAAAAAAAAAGTTCAAGTGCTGAAAGAAAATCAAGAGGTTCTAAAGTAACTTTCTGAGCAGTTCTTCCTCTTTACATAAGTGGAATACAAAAAGAAACAGTCGTTAAAACAAACTCTAAACATGGTCATGTTTCAAATAGAAAAGTCTTTTGAGATTCTGTAAGTACCTTCAAGGTGAGTATAGTACAGAGTTTAAGAAAGAGACACTTCGCAGTTTAGCAGAAATAATTTAGAGAGTTCCTTAAAATTCCACTTGAGCATTATGGGAACTGAGGCTTTAGGTCAAATCATCTATTGTCTTTCTCAGTGACATCAGCTCTTGGAGGCTCCCCTGTTCACTCTACTATGTGATTTCGAATCGTATGTTTATTTCTTAAACAGTGGTACAGCAATAAATACAACATATTCTGTCAACAGTTTACATTTAATATCTACAGTATGTAATTAATATTATAAATTAATTTCCTAATTGTATCATTATGCTCTTTCATTAAATAAAGCACCCACCATGTGATCATTTTCTGAGATATTTGCCTTGTAAATCGTCATTATGAGCCAACTGACATGTCAGTCACTTCATAAGTTCCAGTCTTTGATGACATCATCAATCTGTGACATCATTGTTGTCTGCTGGTGCTGTTACACTAAAGGGCCATTCACATAGAACACATTTTTACATACCACTGTGCTGCTTTTCCATTGTTTTTCTTTGTAAATATGCACTACATCTTACGTCTTTTGCAGCATCTCACACATGACAGAGCATTCTAAATATACAGCGCTCCAGTTAAAAAAATACCACTCTAGACCTTACTTTTTTTTTTCATTCCACTGCTCTGCGTCTTGTATTTTCAAATGCAAAAATGCACTTGGTACATTATTGTGCTATATAAACATGCGCTAGATGTTGCATTTGTGTCTCGTGCATGAGCGCCATGTTTTTAAAAGGTTGTGTCATGATCTCATGATCTGTCAAAGTCTCTACACCTTGCTCTTTTTTTTTTAAGTGTTCTGTATTCCACTGTATTGCTTTTCATTGGTTTTCTTTTATAAACATGTGATAGATGCGTGTCTTTGACCATTCTGCTTGCATCTCGCATCTTCTGCAACATCATACATGAACTGGCTTTCTAAAAATGCAGTGCTTAAGCTAAAAGAAGATTCTATTCCTTGAGTCTTCTGTAGCGTTTCGCTCAACACAGCATTTTAAAAATGCAGTGCTAAAATAAGTTATGCTTTTTTTTTTTTAATCATCTCTAGATCTCATTTTTTTTCATTCAATTACCTCACGTCTAGCATTTTTAAATGCAAAAATGCATTCTGTGTGAATGGCCCCTTTTTCTTTTCCGCATGTTCCTGGTTGCAAAAATAAATGCTGGTCACCATTTATCATGACTTTGCGTATTTGCTACTTCTCAAACGGCTCATACCGCAGCGAAAATTTCTTTTTCTGGGACTGGATCATAAACCAGCTTTTACGCTACATCACACAGAACCTTTCCTGGTTAATGCAGCAACAGCCTAGTGACACAATATTCATCTCAAGGGAATATGAATCACTTCAATGGGAAAATAAATCATCCTTCCACCTTCTATCTGACGGATCTGTGTTGGTTTATGAACAAGGGCTAAGACAAGGGGAGCTGCACAATTCATGATACAACAGCTAGATGCATTTCATAGTCATTAAAAGGCCTGACAGGTCCTTTCTCTTCAGTAGCCATCTCACACAGGTATACATAAACATTCAAAAATGCACACACACTCATGACAAGCACCTGTATGCATACTCACACAAGGACGCACGCATGCATGTAGTCAGGCACATTAGAATATATATTTAACACAGATTAGTTTTGATGCTCAGACTGTTCTTGTAAATAAAGTGCTGAACTTCAAATAGAAAAATCCACATATGCACAGAACACACAAAGGCATTCATATCAGGGCATAAGTATAGGTAAAGGCCATAGTTATAGCCCTTGTGTACAAAAGGAACATTTTCCATTCATATCAGGGCATAAGTATAGGTAAAGGCCATAGTTATAGCCCTTGTGTACAAAAGGAACATTTTCATGACAAACGGAGACATCATAGCTGTAATGGACATAATTCATTGTTTCTCAAACGCCTCTTTGGCTGGGATAGTTCACCCAAAAATGAATATTCTGCCAATATTTAGCCTATAAAAAATATATATTTTTGATTAAAATTAAATGAAAGAATCAAAAGTTATTTTTGAACCCCAGTGACTTTCATAGTATGGGCAACAGTTGAAGCATTCTTCAAAATATCATTGAGATTTGGAAGAACATGAAAGTAACAAAATGATGGGTTTTCATTTTTGAATGAACTGACGCTTTAAAATTTTCCAAACTAAGAGTGTTGATGGCATTGAGCGACTTTCTAATAAATTTGAAGAATAAAGATGAGCAGAACACGCTGAGTTTTCATTTTTGTGTTAAATTATTAATCAGCCAGGGCTGCATCTGAATTCCTTCGATCTGACTATACTGCAATCCAATGACATCACATCCTGCCTACTGTCCTTTTCACAACATCCGGTATTTCAGCCCTCTTCACAGGCTACACTTTAAAAGGGAAGTGTCACCTACACTGGCAGTGCAAAACCAATAGATTGCAATTCGCAGGTAATTATAAACTAACCTCAACGTGGCACTGGACAGGTCGGACACTCTGTAAGGCAAGTCAGAAGTCAATTTGACACTAATTTGCATTGGTTTACTGAGGTAATAGTAGCCAAAACAGAAAATTGGTGTCTAAAAAGCACTGCAAAGGGGGAAATTTGATCTGATTAATATATATTTATATTAATCAGTCATCTCTCAGGAAGGTATTCCTTATGAAGTCTGCAATATTTCAGTCATGATTTAAAAGACCTGTGATTTTAACCTTTGAGTTCATCTGAGCTCCACATTTTGCTAATTGCGCTGGTCTAATGGCATGGAAACTTTATTTACTGACATTTTACTTACTGTGTGCATTCCTGTAATTCAAACCGTAGCACATGGTGCTAGCAACACCAAGGTCATGGGTTCAATTCCCAGGGAACACATGCAGGGAAAAAGTGTATTTAGTGTACTACATATATTGACTGCAATATATGTCTGGAAAATGCATAAATACCATGTGAGTAACAATGCTAGGAGCAGCACATGGCACCAAAATGAAGTTGGATTTAGAGGCATAATGCAAGTATGAACATTTCCAGTGATCCAGTCTACCTAAACTATCCTTTATGCAAACTAACCTGTCAGCAAAAATGCTGACATCCCTTTACAGAGCTCACGTTAACCAGGTTTGATAGGTTACAATGGCACTCGTCAAAAAAATCAGCACCTTTCAGCGGGCAATCCATTGTTTTAGAGCCATTCTTCATATGTAATGTGGTTTTAAAGCATGTCACCAGTTTGGTAAACAGAAAGTGGTTGGTTCAAAATGCATTGGCAGGCCACATAAAACCATTAACGACAAATATAACATACACTGAAAAATAACAAGAAGGACCTTCATTGTTAGTTGCTTCAGTTGTTGTAGACCAGTGCAATCCTTCCTACATGTGCAAGCAAGTGTCCCTGCCATGATATCTACTCCTGCTTCTCTTCTAGATACGCCTTCACCTGTTTGCGCACATAGAATGCAGTGAGTGCGCTGCAACACGCTGTGAAGATAAAAAGAGCCACTGCATCGTGAGCCAAGTCTCCATGGAGACTTTCGTAGAAAGGTCTCCTCTCGCTGTAATCCAGACGCACTGCTTCAATCTGCACTAGAGTGCAGAGCACAAGGAACACGTGGAAGATCTGATGGCCCTGGCCAATGAAGTCACAACATCCCGGGAACCAGCGCTCAGGATGGGGGTATGAGAAGAAGTAGGCACTGATCAAAAAGAAGAGGACCTGGTAGCAGTGGTACACCACCGCCTGGTCGGCACAGCCTTGTTCGGAGCTGTAGCATTTATAGATCCGATGGAACACTGGGCTGATGTCTAAACAGTAGGCCAGGCCCGAGGGAACCACTTGGAATAGCTTGTGAACGAATTTGGGCAAGTTTGGGCTGGCGTACTTGCCGTAGCAGCAGCCCGTACAGGACAGCCAGGCCAGGAAGGCCGCGGCTGGCAAGAAAAAGCTTCGCACTTGAGCGTGCCATTCTTCTGCGATGACGTAATAGAAGTGGGCCAGGGCGCTGCCATACTGGTATATGGCTACACCAACGTAGTCCAAAAAATAAAAGGTGTAGTGGGAGAGCTCAGACTTGGCCGAGAGCAAGTGGGCAAGCGCGCTGCAGCCCAGGTAGGTGAACGCGGCTAGGAGCAGGATGAACAGCGGCTGGGCGTGTGGGTCCCGCAGGAAGTCCACAGTTTCAGACAGCTCCTGAAACTTGACTAAAATAATGAGGGAGGCCAGCAGGTGTGTCCATACATTTACAGACTCATTATGCCTCTGGAACAGAGTGAGGAAGTAGTAGCGCCAGTTCTGGTCAGGCGGCCTGTAGCCCGTGACTATGTGCGACTCACGGAAAACCCACGGCACATCGCTCACCATCACAGTACAAGGCAGTTTAGGGAAGGCTGACTCCAGGAAACGGGGGATCTGGCGAAGCTGCTGTGCGTTGATGAACAGCCTCCCAATCTGCTCCATCACAACCGTCGCCATGGTGAGGACTAATTAAGCGGCAGTCTATTGTGAGATCTGTTTGGGAAAAAGTATTCAACAGTTAAATAGTACCCTTGCATTATTAAGACCATTCACTTGGAATAAAACTTTTGGAATAAAAGCTTTTTTAAAACTCTCAATACTTTAATTTGTCTACCAAAAGTGTGAATGCATGCATTATACATGAATACATGAACAAAATTAAAGATTGATTGTACTGTAAATGACTCAGTATAGAACTTTACCTCACAATAACTACAGAACTTTAACTCAATCTGGCAGAACTGCTTATGGTACACATGACTATGACTTAAAGAAAGAATAAAACTTAAAGAAATACATTTTTAAATGAATATTGAAATGTTTTTCAAATATTTTAGGTCATCATTTTAAACATCAAATAATTAACTTTTTTATAGTTTAAGGTTTGAAGTATGCGCTGAGACGAGGTTAAAACTATTTTTAAAAATACACATTTAAATAACTATAATGAAAGCATATTAAAAGTTTTCAACATATTTTAATGTAAACTTCAACGTTGAAACCTGTTATTTTTAATAAAAATCAACCCCTGGGACATTAAAGTGCTAGAAGTTGCAGAATCCTTATATTTTTAAACTTCTGCGCTTTTAAACGTTTTAAAGGGTGCATTTTAAAATCGTGGCCTAGTTTTTATTGGCTTATTTCCATTCTTTATGAATGCATGCAAACGACGTCACAATCTAAGCGATGTATGCAAATCGATACTTGTTCAAATAGAAGCACCCTGAAACCCTTATTTTGTGGAAAAAAACATGTCATGCATGTAAAATTCTTGCAAAGACTAAAAACTGGTTTATCCTGAAATTAAGGTAACGTGATGTAAAGCGGGGCAATGAATAGACATCACCGCTTACGTAACATCAGCTCTCTGCGTAAAGCTCCTCGAGCACATTAATTAATAGGGACGAATCTGATGAAACTAAAATCATCGATTAAAATGTCTGGGGAAATAATAATGCATTTTAAAGCAAATCTCTTAAAACGAAGATATTTAGGGGGGGAAAGGCTGTGGACAATTTTAGTGATGGCACCCCAAAAGACAGACCCTTCCCACACCCTCAAGCTGTTCTCTCGTAAAATCCCGAAAAAGAAACGTGAGACGCCGGAAGCGCAACAATGAACTGTCTTGAGGAAATTCAACGTTACAGATGCAAACAGCAACTCAAAACGTTTTCTTCCTCGTCTCCTGTACTGTACACGTTTTAACAAATGTCGATAATCTATCTTGGGTTATACTGATCTTTCATTTTCCCCGTTTGCACACCGTACGCGCTACACAAAGGCTATGTCTGTTTTTGAAAACTTTTATCTAAAAGCATATACAGTGCATATGGGCATTTAATTTTTTAGCTTTCATCTTGCCTTAAACCTACGATCGGTAAATTAACTGGTTTACCTTTTAGGAGGATAATCCCGTCAGTGAACTGTATTTAACCGCGCCTTCATATGCGTCTTGAGCAAACGTAATTAAACCAAGAAACTTTAATTATAGAAAAAAATATTACGTAAAAAAATTGTTGAGCGGGGGAGGCTCCTGTCAGCTCCCTGCAGTACCGCTGTCAGATGGCCGCAATCTAAAGATGCCTGATGGGCAGGTAAACTGTCCAATCAGAAAAGCCGAAGACCATTGTCCCCGCCTCCGTCCAGAGTAACTCGCCAATTGGAAACATCCTTTAAGGTGGCTACACCCTCTAAAATGTATGGGATGTGAAATGTGAAACTCTTATTAATACCGCCATGTCCTGTTTAATAAAAAACGAGGTGAGAGCCAATGTGGTATAAAACAGATAAAAGATATATATAATGGCCACATGCGCCCATATATGTGTGCAGTAGCTAATTTACCCTATATTCAGTTAACAGCACAGCACAGATTTGGGCAAAAGCCACATGTAGACATGTTTAGACACTTTTTATTTTCAGTGTCAGTCGTTTGAATTAGTAACACAGAAAACATTTGCAATTAACTGAATATATAGGCAATTTAAATGTACTCGTTGTCTAATATGTGCACATTGTGAGTGTACTTTTGTTCATTTCTTATGCTAAGCTATGTGACCGCTTATCTCATCACCCACACAGGCACTCTGCTGACAATGTGTCCTTGTCAAACTCGATGTTAACAGTGGAAACAAAGGTCCACTTTGTGAATTTAGACACAGGAAGTGCTTTGAAGGTCATTTTGACATTTGAACTTTTTGCCCCTTCCTACAACACAGACAAGCACATGATTTCATTTTTATTTTATTCAATTAAAAAAATGTTTATTCACACAACATATTACTGGACATGATCGGTTTTTGGATGCATGTAATTGCTTCTACTAAGGGAGTTCAGAATTTGGAAATAAGGTATCATTTATTTTTTTAGAAAAGATTGATGAACTTTTCTGAACGCATAATAATGTGACAGCATGTAGACAACAAGCCATTCATCACTGCAAAGCTGTTTACAACTGCCATAAATTTTCATGCATCTAACTCTGTTTTGGCAACAAAGGATAAATCAATAATAGTTGTCATTATGTCAACATTAGGATTTTTTTTTTTTTGCTGAAATCATTTTAAGACAATTTTTCGAGAAAGCCTCGTCTAATACCTGTTCGACAAATTCAAAACCACTAGATGCCAGTATAGTTCAAATACATTCTCAAGCAACAGATTTTATTATTTTTTTAACACTCAAACCTTTGCAAGTACTTATTGGAATGCATTTTTTTTATTAGTGCATATTGAGTATGAATTACTATAAAAGTATGATCTAGTAAAGGAAAGGCATGTGGATAATGAAATGTTTAGTTTTCACACTAGGAATCTCATGCAGATTATAAAGAGTACATCAAAAAGTGTCCAAAAAGATCTAATTATTGTTCTGGCAAAACGTATTTTCCATATAGAATACAGAATCTGCCATTTATCTTCATAGTGTACACATTTTAAGAAGTTCTTTTACTCCACATTACAATCTGGCTGACTGACAGATCAACAAAGAGGCAGTGGCAAAACTGGTACAATAACAAACAACTGTGCAACTTTATTAAGCTCATAGGATGGCAGAACTGACATACAAGGGAACAGGTGGACTTGCACAATGCAGTATACCAAGTACTGTATATATTAGACCTATGCATAACACAGGCATGCTTCCCTATCAGTAAAACACTGCTCATTTTAAATGCTATAGAGGTGCAACTGGACAAATCTACAGGTTAGTGGGGATGATGAAAGACAGAACTGAATACACATAAACTGATGAAATGTTGTGCACCAGCTTTTCCCCAAAACCCCTTAATAAAAAAGTGGCAAGTACATGGATCCAAACACGGAAAACTGGCCATTTAATGGAACAAAAAAAATAAATCTTTGGATACATTAAAAAACCCAATACTATACCCTAAATGAAAAGGAAAATGAGAGAGGAAACTTAGTCTTCACCCTCTGCCCCATCTTTTGTTTCTTTGTTCTTTCGTACCTCTTCGAGCTTCTTGTCCTAAAATAAAGAAAAATACATCCATTAACATAATGGAAATTCAATAGAACTGAAACTTTACAAAGTAACATATAATGCATATGCATTCATCAATTTACAAACCTTCTCTTTGAATTTCTCATTCATAGCTGCCATGCGTGCTGTGCGGTTTTCTTTGTTGGCTTCCATTTTCTGGTTAAGTTTCTCCTCTGCCATCTTGCTGAAGTTGTTGTTCTCCTCCATTGCTTTCTGAAGGACTTCCTTCTCATGCTCTCGTTTCTCAGCTAAGTGCTTCAGGACCTCTGCCTCATGGTTCTAATATGAGAAGGTAAACAAATGAGGAACAGAATGCACAGTCACTATGCAACGGCTTCTTAAACGACCACTTACCTTGCGTCTTTCCTCTGCCGCGTCCAGTTTTTTCTGGATCTCATCCAGAGATACCTCCTTCTTCTTGGGGGTGGAAAGTGGGAATTCTCCCTTGGCATCTGGAGCCGAAGGACTCAGGATGACTTCAAAAGCCTGTCCTGAGGCACGCTTGTCCAGTTCCTTAACCTGAATGTCTGGGAATGATACGCCATTGTATTTAATAATCCATGCTTGATTTCCTTTGCAGAATGATTTAATTTAAATTACGTTATAGTGATGCATATTGATTTCGATATTGGAGCTTAGCTGCTAATATTTTCACATCTAACCTCCAGAGGACGCCATTGCACTTCCAACCTCAACGGTTTCACACACCTGCCAAATGAACGCATATAATAATATCAGAAAAATGCAAACGTTTTGCTACTAACGTTGATGCAAATCATGCTTACACAATCTTTTCTCTTAACCATATATCCCTCCCCACATATTGAAAACAAGTCTCAGCAATGAAACAGCTTTTCTGTCATTGAAAAAAAATCTTCAAGGTAGCTATTTATGAAAAATCCTTGAGTGGAGTCTGTCTCTACTGTGGTATATACAAGAAATAATACATATACCTACTAAATTAATATATAAACAATAACTAAAATACACTACTTAAAGGAATGGTGTCGCCACAATAGACATGCATAATAAGTGAATGATATTATGGGAAGGAAACAAGCTGTAAAAAATGCAAAAAATTACTGCCTATTAAATAGAAATGTATCCTTTTTTATGCTGGATGCCAAGAAGAGGACGAGTCGCTGCCTGCACAACAAGCACCGGATCCATCTATTCAGACGTGCTGTCATCATCATCTAATTAAACAATAAGTTTAATTAAAATATATAATGCAAATGCAGGGTGTACACTCGGGTGAAGTGTAGAGACAAACAAATCAGCATCATGCATAATGTAATGAGAGCCCACTGGCCACTGAGAGATTAAAACAAATGGGATATTGTGTAAGAAACGAACAAAGACAGGCTAATCCGTTGAAGTGGTTCCTCAAATATTAAGTATTAGACAAACTTGTCATCTTAAAAATGACCTGACAACATATCATCTCTTGATGGCTGAAAATAAACATCCAGCCCCAGTGTCTATCCGATGGGATGCAGGATCTCATCTGGAGACAATAGATGGCCGAGATACACCATGAACCCTCATTATAACAGCCTTCAAAAATCCATAATACCACACACTATACTATATTACGTATCAATAAGACCCTAATAATGTTCAAGAAACATGCAAATATGGAATGCAACATTTAGAAATAGTGGTATTGGTGTATCCAACGTTTTCAGCAAACCAGATCACACCCTAATCTCTCCCATTTCACACCAGACACAAATGCACTGCCCATTGTACAGAATAATCTCAGTGTTGACTCCAAAATTATTTTGCCTAATTCCATCTTTTTATTAATCGATGTTATTGATGCAATAGAAGGTAAATAATATTATTTGACAGCACGGTTGGTGAATGCACAAATAACAAAGACAAAAGACGTCGAGACCCATTAGATCACCGGTCACTGTACTGTGGGCTATATAATGGGATTGTTGTTAAGATTTTAGGTAACGTTAACGTTAAAACAGAAAACTGTTGAAGTCTGTGGCTGACAATATAATTGATTTTTCACTAGCAAAACGGCTAAATCAACAAGCAAATCTCGCACTGCCCATTGTACAGAATAATCTCAGTGTTGACATGCAAAATTATTTTGCCTAATTCCATATTTTTATTAATCGATGTTATTGATGCAATAGAAGGTAAATAATATTATTTGACAGCACGATTGGTGAATGCACAAATAACAAAGACAAAAGACGTCGAGACCCATTAGATCACCGGTCACTGTACTGTGGGCTATATAATGGGATTGTTGTTAAGATTTTAGGTAACGTTAACGTTAAAACAGAAAACTGTTGAAGTCTGTGGCTGACAATATAATTGATTTTTCACTAGCAAAACGGCTAAATCAACAAGCAAATCTCAACTAAACGAGAGCCAGATGGCTAACGTTGAGCTCGACCGTTTGAACAATTCCCTCCCGATTAAACGACGAGCAGTTAGATTGCTGCGCGTGCTAATTCATGGATTTATTTAGTTATGATAACTCTATTCCTGATTCCCTTGTCCATTATCTGCATCCCATCCCCAAAACGGGAGGTAAATAAGGGTGTAACTGAAAATTAAAATCGTAAATCTTTGAATTTTTATACTTTAGATACCTCCTCCTCCTGTCACGTCAGAAACGGTTGAGATGTATTGCAAAAATATGAATTTTTGACAACAACAACAACAACAACAAAAAAACACCCACCTTTAGATGCAGTGGAGATCAGAGCTGGATTTAACCGCGCGCAGATTCCTCTCAGTGCCTCAGCATCAACCGTTCGCGCAAAAGAGGACCAAATTGTGTTACGTCACATTTGGATGTGACCAATGATCATCGAATAGAGAACTCTGGGATATGTAGTACGCTATAATTTCAATGGAAATTATGTGATTTACTTTTAAATTATTTGCATAATATATATGACTGCATTCACATTAAAAGTGTACAATGCTTATTTCTCAAAATAAATTATCATAAATTATAAATGGACAATTAAAAAACAATTAATTTCTTTCGACTAGCCTATTATTTCAGACGCCATTTTTATTCTCTTTTTTTATTGAACATAATCATTTTTATTATTTCCACTAACCACTGAACCACACTTACAGAATTGTTCGATATCATAGCAAAAGATACAATAAAACTGACCAGATATACAGTAAACTAGTGTACAGTATACTAGTATACTAATGTAGAATACAATTACATCTTAATTTAGAGGAGTAAAATATGACAACTTGTGATGACAACTTAAGATGAGGCTGTAATGGAACAAGCGAGTCCTGACATCACCCCGTTGTTAGTCATCTCACAACAAGTAGACTACAGTACAGCCCAATAAATTCTTAGAACAAAGCTGCGACATGTCTGTGACCTGCTTTAAAAATTGTTTTTGGAGCAAAGCAATATGGCAATTAATTATTCCAATGCCTCAATGAATCCTCTGTCAGTGCATGAACTTTAGCTAAATGGTAGAGCTCAGAGTCTCAGCAATGTGTTTCAAACTGACTGGTTTTTACTGCTGGTGTTTGTTTCTGTTCCATTGAATGATATTTTTTGCTCCTCAGTTAAATATCTCTCTAATATTTTCCTTGTATAGGCCTCATCTCTGTCCAAAAGTGCTTGTATCAAAGTTAATTAGCTGGCTTTCCATAACTATAAGCGTACTTGATACTCATGTGTTGCACATGTTGCTGATTTTGGGGGGTTTGTGCGAGTCTGACCCTCCTATTGTTTTCTATGTATTATTTTTTGCAAGCAAGTTAGAATAGAATAGAATATAATAGAATAGAATAGAATATAATAGAATAGAATAGAATAGAATAGGGACATTTAAGATCTGGAAATTTTCAAAGATCCATTAAGATTTGGTGTGTTGCAGAAAAACTTGAATATAGGATTATAGAATAGAATAGAATTAATTACACAACACAAATCAAATATCTGGAAACCTTTGAACATTAAGAGTTCATGTGTAGCATGAAAAATTTGAATGTCTAATCCATTGTAGAATAGACTAGAATATTAAGACCAAAAATTCTATTTTATTGTGCTCGATAAAAAAATTGAAGACAGATGTACAATATTATAAAAAGCAGAGGTGTATCGTCTCTCCATCAAGTGTTATTCTGGTTAGTCCCTCATTAGTGTGCTCATCATACAGTCACATGTTGCATCTATAAGACTCCATAAGAGTGGAGTGTAGAGCAGCCTCTCGTCCTCATTGAAACAAGAGCAGTGAGGGTGGGGGCTTTCAAAGGGACAGAAATAACACGTGATGACGCGGGTGCGACTGCTGTAGCCACACTGGCGGCCTTACTCACTCACACACACACACACACTCACACACTCGCACTCGCCACCGAGACTCACTGCAGGACATTAGCGGGATTCAGCGCTGTTTAACGGGACATGGCTGGTCTACTGTGTGGAACGAAAAAAAAAAAGCAAGGTAGACTTTGGGCTGTTTTATGGTGCAGCAGTTTAATAGATTTTAATTAAATGAATGCTTTTTTTTTTTTTTATACTCTACTAAAAGACTAAACCATTGGTTAGGCAATGGTTTAGTCTTTTAGTAGAGTATAAAAATATGCCAATACATTCAAGCATTGATTTTCCTGTGTTATGTGTCACCCTTATTAGTGGGCTAGACCCACTTATAACAGGCTGACACTAGATCTGTTTTAAAGCCAATTTATCCACAGCCAGATGTGCACTTTGACTGACCCACGTGCACCAGATGTGCATAGATGAATGTAAGCTGTAAGACTTTATGCCAAAATATTTTCTGATAAATGCACTGGAACATCTATTGTCTAGATTGTGGATCATACTGCCTGCAGGCAGACAGACAGACAGATACTGTGCATTTCATTTCCCACCGCTGACAGTGACCCACTTTACAGAACCACTGTGTGCGACAGAGAGACTGAATCCACACTAGCCTGAATGGGTACTGCATAAAACACCTCTACTTGAATGCTGGTATGCTTCTAATATGCAGTGTTTGCTTTTTTGAGAAACAGAATTTTTTTTCCAGGCCCTATAGACTGAAGTTATCTAATTTTTTTTTTGGATGCATGGATGATGTCATAAAATGTACTGCCATAGTGTTATGTACTGTTCCTTCTCTTTGGACAGAGTGGGGGCTGTTATGCTCACATGAGAGCGAAGCCCTTCCCCTATTCTAACCACAATAACATACTGGTTGCACATGCTTTTACACACAAACACATCCCCTCCCAATGTCTCTCTTCTCTGTCTCCCATAAGACAAAGGAAACCATTCTCTAATTTTAAAATGTAATCAAAATAAAACAACAAATAGAAAAGACACCTGTCTTGCAGAAATTATATGCTAATTGAGTGCAGACCTTTTATTTTTATTTTAAAAATACTTTATTTTATATCATATCATATAATATATATATATATATATACATATAGAATCAAATTGTCTGATTTGTTTATCAATTCTATATATAAATTCAGTATTTTTATTAAAGTATTTCAGTATTTTATATAGAAAAAACTTTTTTAGCAAAACAAAATGTTTGATTTTATCATAATTACTATATATATATTAAAATCAGTATTTAGTTTTATATAATAAACTTTTTTTCGTCAAGGCAACATGTCTAAATTGATCATCATTTCTATATTCAAGAATTAGTATGTGAGGACCGGTCATTGACTGGCTTTATCACAGTCATCCGTCACTAATGTATTAAGCAGTTAATGCAGTGTAAAGCATTAGTTTGCCATTACATCACTAGGATCTAAATTTAACATGTGCTCTGTGCCACCTCCATTAGAGGCTGAATAAGCTGGTGATGAATTATAGATGAATGAAGCCCTCATCTCTGAGTCCCTCTCCAGAATCTTTTTTTGCCCCTGTGACCTGAGTGAACCAAGGTTATTGTACAATCAAGGTTATTGTATATTTTGATGCTTATGTAATAGATAATCATTATCAATGACTTTCCAACAGTATTTTTTTTTCCTTTCCCTCTTCTATGTCTGTGCTGTCAAGGACCAAGCATGCCAACATCACATTGGTGGTTATTTAGCAAGAAAGTCTGTGATGCAACTGCATGCAGCTTTTTTGTCCATGTGCAAGCCAGAAAATTCAGTTCATTTCAGACGATTGCATATGGAATCCCGTTTCGGCCACAGAATAAAAAATATAAACTTTTTTATCTAGTTTACATTTAGCAGTTCTGACTTTCTCTGATTTGCGAGTTTGCATTTCGCAATACCAACATTTGTCTCTTAATTCTGAGTTAATCTCGCAATTCTGATTAAAAATGACACAACACCCACCAATGAGACTGTAGTGTCTCCACAATCTAAACTCTACTGCTCCCCTTGGCACTTTTCCTTTTGTGTCTGTCCCATCGGTGCCCAAGTGGAAAAATACCAGCATCTCCCTATAGCGAGCGCTGAAAGGCTGACGGTTGCGTCAGTATAAAGTTGTAATGCTGGTAGCTGCCTCGTTCAAACTGCACAATGAAGAGGCAGATATCAGCTGCCTAGTTTTCCTCAGCCCAGAACGGCTCGCCAACATTTCAACAAAAGATCTGATTATAACGGTCAGAAAGCGGGTGAGCGGAATACCCGCCTAGTCGGTCACAAGGGAGGGGGTAAAATCTGTCTCCTGGTCTTTTATCCCTATGCATTGAATGACACCAAACACACTGTAAACCGATCAGGGGACAAGTACTGTTCTTAACATATGATAGTGATGGCAAGACACACTTAAGACAGCAACTGAACTTGTTCTTATACCTTTTTTTAATTATAGCTACAGCACAATCAGTGTTTAATTCTTGAATGAATGCATCTAATGAGTCGGTTGTTTTTAGTGAATCAAAAACATACAGCGCAGTCGGTGCACTCAATTCCTGAATGATTGACTTTAATGAGTCGGTTCTGTTTGATGAATAAAACACATATAGGCTAGCTTACAACTAATGTCATATTTATCATTAAATACATTGACTGATTGTTCATATCAACATGTAGTCAAAGATTAGCCTGAATTACATTAGGATTACATTATGTATTACACAGATTTCATTATGAGTTTTGTCAGTAGTTTATAAAATAAATAAATTAATAAAATGCTATTTAAATAGTAGGCTAAATGTTTTGATACACTGAAAAGAACCAAATTGTTTAAGCCATTCCTTTGAAAATCAGACTACACTGGTTGCGCTGTATGTTTTTGAACCAGCCCATAAAAGTCATTCATTCTGTAATAGAACTACAGCGGTAGCGGTGTCTTGTTTCGCTGTGGATTCTGTAATGGGGTTGTGGTGCAATGCACTTCCGTTAATGGAACTGAACGTCATTTCCGATTTGTTTTTAATGGCTTCTTCAATGCTTGCTTACCTCATTGTGCTTGACATTCACATTTATTTATTTAGGAGACACTTTTATACACACTAACACATTCAAGGTATACAATATGTGGGTTCCTTGGGAATAAAAAACCTTGACCTTGCCACTGATAATGCCATGTTATTGCCTGAAACTCAATTTCCATTTAAATAAGCTGTTGACATAGGCTACAATTGTCCAATTGTTTCCTATGCTGGGCTATTCAGGCTGTTACCAACTTGAAGCTGCCCTTCTGAGTCAGAACATCAAGTGTCCAGAGCACAGGTCATCCACTTGTGTTCAGTGATTATTTTCAAATTATTCACTCATCCATTCCCTTTGATGTCTGAAGTTATTCAAATGACTGGTCCTCAAATGGTGGATTGCTGGTGTACAGCGAATAAATGGGACTAAATGCAACTAAACAAATTCTCATGCAAAAAAGACTTATCAGTTAATAATAATAAAAATTTGATTATAAAAGGAATTATTATTACTGAAACATTTTCCACCTCCCTAATGAACTATTTTTAAATAATTTTGGTTTTGTGTTCAGTTGCCACATATGTTCAGTGTAAATCCTATTTCCATTTGCAAAACCAGTGATTTAAGCCATTACATATTGTACAACCAATGAAAACCATTTTCCCATCTTGGATCACTGTGGCTCATACAGTTAATCACATATAAGAATTCATTGTAGTTTTCGCCAAGAGGTCTGGCTTAATGTTTGTCTGCATGTCTTTTTCCATTATTGCACCTCTGTCTCACTTTTGCTCTCCCCTCCTCCTCTTGCACCATCTCTTACTCTTTCTCTCTCTACCTCAGGCAGTCTGACTGGCACGTTAAACGGCATGTGCCATGCGTCTGAGTGGGTACTGCCACCCCATACCCTTGAGCTGCAAAAGCTGATGATTATTTTTCATTGGCTCACATCAACACATCATCATTTGCGACAACACAGCAAATTCCTCTGCCCCAGCAGAGCCAAATAGCCACAAAATACTATTAGGCTCAGCACCAAAGAAAAGGTCACCCCTCGGTTATGTTCTCCACCTTTATTACAGAAGACCTGAGGCTGCCGGGGCTGATGTCGACTGCCTGGGGTTGTCACTAATAGCGGTGCTTTCACACGACATGTAGTTATTAACAGATGAAGCGTGCTTCTTGTCTGCACCGCATGTGGGCAGATGTGATAGTATCTCGCTGCTGTAAGGATGTAGCCTTTGTTGTTCAGCTTTGCTTCGGGCTTCACCCATTCCACATCCACATCCCTCCATGTTGTGCTTCTGTAAAGACGAACAGAATCACGTGATGCATGCAGGCTGCTGTTAGTGTTTGGCCCTTGTCCTTGCAAGATTTCCGAGTACATCAGATGAAAGAATCTTGAAAATGTTCCTTGTGCAAACATAGAAGACGGGCACATCTGTAAGTGAGTTTTTTAGCAATGTGGTGTGTTTTTTTTAGCCGAGGCGGTTTCCTTGGCAACATGTTGCCATAGCAACGGCCCAGGCACCATTCTTCGTTGGTTTGTTATACAAGTGTGAGGCGGGGGGTGGGACTACACTCCCTCACAGCATATTTGGGTGGCTACATGCAAGCTAACACCATGCTCAGACAGCCAGACACAAAGTCAACGCATGTGCTGTATGTGTCAAGGGATCTGCCAGTCTGCCATGTTTATCACTCATATAAATAATAATAGATGTTGTTGACATTTAACAGATGGGGGAAGTTTGTCATCCTTTGACAAAGTTTTGTCATAACAAACACTAGGAATACATGTGAAAATATTATGAAAATATTCGTTTTTATTGTATTTCCAGCTATTTGTACATTAACAATGGGGGATTTTGTCATCCTTTGACAAAGTTTTGTTGTAGCAAATGCTGTATAGAGCCAGAGAGAGAGAGAGAGAGAGAGAGAGAGAGAGAGAGAGAGAGAGAGAGAGGAATACATGCAAGGCTCCACATTGTATTCAAATCATTGAAAATAAATAAAATAAGCTCCTATGTCCCTTGAACGTAACACAATACATGCAAATATCATGTATTTGTACATGAACCATATTATATAGTTACGACTAAAGGGTGTTGCTAGCCACAATGCAAAGTGCAGCATTTAAATTATATTTTATGAGGTAAATTCATTAAAGGAATAGTTCACTGAAAAATGAAAATTTGTTGAAAAATTACTCCTCTGATTTTCATCTATCCATATTGCATTCTCCAGTGAAAAAGTCATCTATAGTCTGAATCAGGAGTGAAATATGCACAGATCAACCACCATTTACAAGCGAAAACAGTCCAAAATAAATATGTCAGTGGATTTTGATGTGAGAGAACAAAGGGGGATGAACTTTTAATTTATTATGGATTATGGCTGGAAGCATAAATCTAAAGTTAAAACACTTTAATGATGGATTTGTTTCTTACAAACACTCAGCTTTTCACTTCACTGGAACTTTATTGGAGTTGAATTGGAGTTGTGTGGATTATTGTGATGTTTTTATTAGTTGTTTGAACTCTCATTCTGACAGCATCCATTTACTGCTGAGGACGTATTGGTGAGCAAGTGATGTAATTCTAAATTTCTCCAAATCTGTTCTGAACTATTCCTTTAATTATATTTTAATAAGCAAATTCATTAAGTTACTATGTTGTGGATTTTCACACGACTGGAACAAATGTTTTGACCACTAAGAAGAGTCAGAAATAGGATATGAACATCAGTCCGTGCAGAATCAAAGAAGTTTAACTCTATTTCCTATCCCATAGGGAAGTTGTACTTCAGCTTATTGTTATGTGATACAGTGGAAGCAGATTCTTATTAAGACATACACAAAATGTAGACAACTTCATTGTATCATTTACACTATGCATTTTGTTTGGTTTGACTAATTCAAATTCACAACTTATTTAATAGACAAATATATGATGAGATTAAATGATCAAGGCAGGACACACATCCTCAAATGTCCTTTTCATTGCAGATTCAACACAGATGTTGTTGTCTCAAACTTTCAGAGTGGCACAGATGGGCAGATGTTTAAGAAGGGGTCTTATCATGATGAGAAGCCTCTTTTAATCTTTATTGGATGTTGTCCTCACCAAGCCTGCACTAGAGAGCCAATAGTAGGCAGTAAGCACTCCATAATGTCAGTAGAATGTCACTGCCATCTGTAATCAGTGAAACTGAGGCCAAATGAAGAACATTATATGAAGATGATTAACAGAGAGCGTGAAAGAAAAAATACTGGATGACTCTAAATCAGTGCTTTTTCAATAAAAACAACAGTCCTGTAGCTCCCCGGGGGAAATGTATTTACTAAGAATTAAGTATAAGATAATAAAATAGGCTCCTATTGTGTAAAATATAATAATTAAGAATATAGATGCAGGTTTCAGTAAAGATTTACAGGGATAATTCACTCAAAAAAGAAAATTCTGTCATCATTTATGCACCTTCATCTCATTCCAAACCACTATAGCTTTCTTCCATAGACAACAAAATCAGATGCTATGGAGTATGTTCATGCTAGTGCCGTAAAAGTACTATAACAGTCACTACTTCATATAACTAATGTGCTATATTTCTAGTCTTTTGGAAAACAAAAAACACAATTTAAGCCACTGCATTCACTATAAACCATCCCTGTATCTTTTTTTTATGGTGTTTTCTATGGTGTAGCATCAATATTCTGGAGAAAATAGTTTCTTCAAAGAGTTAATGACCTTCTCACCGCAAGACCTTTCTCAAATGCTGCGCTGTCGTAATGTGTTTCCAACAAATCTAGATTATCTTTGACTGCCAGGCCTCACAAAGCGCTCTGTGATTTGCAGACAGACCCTCAGCAGCAGAGGATCTTTCCTTTACCCTGACTTACATGTTTATATCCACTGCTTGAATGCACTACCCAGAAATAAATTCCTTTTGACTGTAGAGCCTGCTAAGATCAGTCCATTTGTATTGATTGTGTACTAGTTTCAGGTGCCTCCTTACTTCCTGCAAAAAAACAAGCTAAATATATTATGGCATATGTGTATGACATTAGACGTTTATTGCCGAGAAACACATGGTCACCCTCTTATTGTTTCATATTGACAACAAATGGCGTGTATGTCCCCGGGCCGTGTGAATAGTGGCTCCACCTGGTGGTAAACAACAGCACTTAATGCATTTAAATGGGTTCTGAGGTACAGCAGGTTTCAATTGATTTTCTAATACTGGCCCCTTTCAGTATCATTCATTTTTGATATTTGTGTATATACAGATACAGCTTCTCTGTCTTTGTAATGTTAGATACAATACACACATTGTGTGACTTCATTGATGTGTTTTTAACAGCACAGTTACTGTAGTGTAAAAACATACAAAGGCAATTTTATCCCAGTTTGGCAATTACAACATTTTACACTGATACATTAAGTTACCAGTGTAGAGTATAAATGGGACAATACTGTAAAATAAACAGAGTATTAAAATAGACAAAAAAAATTGACATCTCAAAACGCCCCACACTTATTAAATAATACCAGTTCCACACGTATGGATATTATGACACAGACACTAAAAAAGATCTCTCTGGACTTGTCAAACATCACAGTCATATCCCTCCCTTTAGTTTGCATGTTTAGGCTATACAGACCTTAAAAAGGCTATGGCTCTTAGACATCCTCGCACCACACATTCAAAAAAGGTACTCTTTTTTTTATCCTATAGTTTGGATTAGCTTAATTATTCAAACTTGAGTTTGAATCAAACTGACATCAAAGATCTACTAAACATAAACATATATTGCAAGTACACTCTGTTCAGTAAGAACACTCTATCCAAAACTCTATACATCACATACAGTATGAGTTTATAGAGAATACAAAGTGGACGAGTTTTTTTTTAAGTTATAAAATCCTTTGCACACTGAGATTAAATTCAGTGATTTTATTTATTTTAATAAGCTGACCCATTCAAATTGAAATTAAAAATCTGTGTTTGGAGGGCATTCTGAATATTTATTAAAATACTGCAAACTATTTTTTCCTAGTACTGTATACTCATACCTTTATGATTACTATTCCCTTCCTGATTTATGCTTTTCATACTGCATTTCGTGTTTGGCAGTTCTGATTAATTTACTCACAGATATGTTTTTATTTTTTTTATTATAATTATTATTATTCGAAGGCTGAAGATAATGCTACATGACGCTTGAATATTCGCAAACATCTGCTCATATTCTTTCACGGTTACCCTTTCCAAAAACTGAGGCGATTTTTAAAGACACATTACTAAGATCACATAATATCATACAATATCAAACCACAACTGGATGTATACGTAACTCACAATAGTCATTATTGGATAGAAAGCTCATAAAAAGAAAAGCATTTTCTCAAACAAATGCGTAAAATTTATTAAAGCGTTCCCAAGCAGATCCCCCAGTGTTTTGGCATGTCTGTGTTTAAAAAAGTGAGGATTGTTCTTCGACATCCTCTTCTGCTTCCTTTCCTGTCTTTTGGACAGTCTGGTTTTTTTTTTTTTTTCATTGCATGAACCCTTTGAAGACCTTGTCCTTCATTCCACATTTTAGCTGCCCTCTGTTGCTTCCTATAATGCAGTCTGACAGGCATCAGGAACAGTCGGTAGAGGATGAGCTCCAGGGGAAAGGCGGGGGCTGTTGAGGCCCCATCTCTGTGGTTTAGGCATAGACTCAGCCACCTAGGAACCCTCCTTCACCTCTGGGCTCTCTGTAGGAGTGGGGGGTTCCTCCGTAGACGGGGACTGAGCATCACCTGGCCCGTCTGAAACAGAGAGAGACATAAACAATAGGAATAACAGAGGTTTTTATTGTTCAGTACTGAAATTATCATTACACCTCATACCACAGTTACCACACTTTTTGAATTTCCTTGAGATTTCCAATCAGTTGTGATAACTGGATAAGGATAAAAATCATTTGAACAAAGTATGATTCACTAAAGAATCATTTGTGACCCTGGAGCACAAAACCAGTCTCAAGTCGCTGGGGTACATTTGTAGCAATAGCCAAAAATACATTGTATGGGTCAAAATTACTGATTCCTATCCTAACAAACCATACATCAATGGAAAGCTTATTTATTTCGCTGTCAGCTGATGAATAAATCTCAATTTCGAAAAATTGACACTTATGACTGGTTTTGTGGTCCAGGGTCACATTTGTAAACTAGTTTGACCAATTAATTAAGAAGAACCAATATTTTTTAGAATACATATTACAGAACTAAGCATAATTTTAAAAAAAATGTTTATACTCTTATGATTTTATTAATTGATTTATAATACATTTTCCAAACTGGAAAACTGATATTTCCAGGTGTTCCATGACTGAGGAAACCCTGTATAACTATTTGCATACTTTGGTAGTATCACAACTCAATAATATGATAATTGTTTATAATAAATGCAATATTTACTTTATTTTCACATTTTCTAATATTTTTGGCTGTTACAGGTTATCATAAAAAGCTAATAGTCTAAATATCTAATATAATTACACATTTTTAAAATAAAAATTATTTTTATAGTTTAATTTATTATAATAAATGATTAGAAATTATTCTTATTTCATATATAAGTTGGGTTGTATATATATATATATATATATATATATATATATAAACCAACATTTATTATAATACATTTAATAAATACAATAATTTTACTAAATAGATCTATTATAATTATATATCTAATATTTTATTCAAATAATAAATATTAAATAAATATTCATTCAAAATCATAAATAAAATACAAAAAAATAAAAGAATTACCTGTGAGGGATAGTTCTGCCAGTTTAAGAGACAGGTCAGGCGGGACTCCAACAGGAGACCCCAGGATGTCAGGCAGTGCGTTGCGACGGCCAGAGCGGCCCGATGAGGCAAAATCCAACACCGGCTCCACCTCTGTCATCTCTAAAGAAAAGGCAGAGCTTGACATGAGGCTTGCAATCAGTACAATGGTGAAGACTGATCATTGTTCAAATACAGCACATGCATTGTCTTCTCTGACCACTAGATGGAGGTGGCACCCCAGAAATTGTTTCTTGCCCACAGGAGGAACAACATAATTATATAAGCAAACATTTTTATGCTTGACCCATCTCGATGGGTTCCACGGTGGCCCGAGGCTTGTCTTTCACTAGCACAAACAGGCCACTCTAGAACGCAAAGCCTTCCCAATTCACTCTCCATTCTCTCTCAGTCAGGAAGCAGTTGTCTTGGCAACCAGATGGATCACCTATATTGCATAGCAACAGGTCATCTCTTCTGACAAACAGATGCACTTTTGCTCTGTTTTCTTTTGACACAGCTGTTGCGAGATACAAGTAAGCTGTTTTCCCATGCAAGGCCAGTCTCTGTATATGTACTCACATGCGTGTGTACGTGAACACTTTGGTGACTTGACTATATGCATGCATTCATATCCCTTTCTTAGCATGTGCTTGCCCAAACATATGTCTGTGCATAAATATAGCAAAATTCGCATGGCACGAGTGCATCTTCGGACCATCAGGACCAGCATCAATCTGCTGATTACATCAGGGCCAATTCAACTGGTTTATAAGACTGGGGCCAGTTGCATAAACATAGCCACTATGTTAAGACTGTGTCTTAAGAACTAGTTTGACCAATTAGCAGTTAGCCAAGGGGTAACCCATCTTATTTTTCGGATTCAAGTTAGACCAAGCTATATGTTTTTATGTAACAGACTAAAAAAAAAAATTATGATCAGTCTTAAAGAAAAAAATTAGATGACTAACTTTTAAGACTAGTCTAAGCCTTTTATGCAACCAGCCACAGGTCTTACACTCAAAGCAACTTCCAAAAAACAGACTAATAAATCAGTGCTTATACAGTATACACAGTATAAATAAATCATTGACACCTAAGGCCATGGTGAACAGGAACTGAAAATTGAAAGTAGGTCTTTAATACTTAGATTTTCTTTGACACATTTGATCAAAGATAACATATCTTTATGACGACAGACATAAAACGTCAGACTTTATTTGTTTTGATGGCATGGTTCAAGTGTTTATTGCAGTGTAAAGGCAGCATAATTTAAACATTTAAATGTTTTTATTTACTGAACCTTTACCCTCTGAGCATCGCAATTATTGTTTATACATACACTTAGTTTCTCAAAAGGGCAAATTACACATCATCCCTTAAATATCACATATCGTGCTGTTTTAGAGGAAAATCATGCTGTTTTATTACTTTCCTAAGCACCTTTTTGCCTGGTGGATGCTAAAACATCCATACAACATTGATAAACCACATAATAAATGTGGGCATCGTTTTACAGCCTACTAATGCTATTAAAAATGGTTATTCAAGGGTCTCTCAGCTGAGGATCTCAAAAACTCTTCTCAGGTATATAATAGTTCACCCAAAAATTAAAATGTGATGAAAATGTACTCAACCTCAGGCCATCCATCAAACAGTGTTCAGACAGCTCATAAAAGCAGCACAATAATTCACAAGTAATCCACACGACTCCAGTCCATTAATTAACATTCATCAGGCACAGTTTAAGAGAGTCGGTAAATTTTGGTTTAGGCCAGAAGTTAAATCGCCTTAATGATGGATTTCACTTCAGCATTTCACTTCACGAGACATTAATTGATGGACTGGAGTCATGTGGATTGTTTGTGGATTATTGTGATGTTTTTATCAGCTGTTTGGACTCTCGTTCTAGCGGCACCCATTCACTGCAGATGATCCATTGGTGAACAAGTGATGTAATGCACAGTTTCTCCAAATCTGTTCAAATGAAAAAACAAACTCATATACATCTTGGAAGGCCTCAGCAAATTTTCATTTTGGGTGAATATTCCTTTAAACACTATTCACTGGTAAAAGCACAGCTAGGCTAGAGACAGCTTAAGACAGCATCAGTCCCTCTCTCATTCTGTTTGTCTATCTCCTGGCAGGCTGCCTGACTAGCTGTGGCTCTTATAGTTTTACAATCCATATTGTAAGAAGCTGGAGGATTATGGATGAGAGACAGCGCTGGAGTGGATCCACTGCAATCTCAGCTACACTCCTTATTTATAGTTAACTCCTTATTTTTAGTTAAACTTCTCATTTGTCCAGACTTGCTTAATCACAGATCTTCAACTAAACTAGATGTCATTGTCTCAAAGCTTAAGGTACAAAGAACGGTGTCTCTTAATTTCATCCAAAACCTCATCCGAGAATAATTAGATAAGTACTAGTAGATAAGTAGATGGGAAAACGTGTAATCTTCTGCTTTCAGTAAGTGTGCCTGAAAGAAAGAATAAACAATGTTCACAGTCGCTGATTAAAATTTTATGTACAAGTTGGAGAAATGCAAGAAAAGACAACAGAAAAGATGATGTTATATGAAACAAACAATTAAAAGATTTTTATAATGTTTTTGAAAAAGATCTCCTATAACCACCAAAGCAGCTTTTATTGAATGTTGTGAAATATTATTATACTTTACTTTTCTATTTTAATGCATTTTAAAATGTAATTTATTTGTGATGGCAAAGCTGAATTTTCTGCAGTCATTACTCCAGTCTTCAGTGTCATATAATATAATAACATTATTATAAATGTTATAAAACTTAATATTGTTAGTTACCGTTATATTGCTTAATATTGTTGTGGAAACCATGATACAATTTTTTTTAGGATTCTCTGATGAATAGAAAGTTCAAAAGAACAGCATTTATTTGAAATAGAAATCTTTTTGGTAATTTTGACCAATTTAATGTTGAAATTAAAGTTTTAATTTCTTACTTACCACAAACTTCTGAATGTTAACTGTACAAATAGTTAACCAAGATATAAAACTGAAAATTATAGTGTATATCTTTAATCTTTAAAAGAAACACAATATTAAATGTTTTATTATTATTATTATTATTATTATTATAATGTACTGGAAAATGTGTTGCCAACAATAGCTTTTTTTCATATAAGATTCATTATAGAAATATTAAGTCCTGTGATGGATATTTTACTAATTTAACCTGTTTGTCCCTGACAACTTGGTTTTTGCATGAAGATGAATTTGTAAATAACTCTTGTAAGAAAATAATGGGTTCGTTTGAGCAGCTTGTGCAAAATTACACCATCTGTACCTGTTTGCGTTCTCACACAAATAGCCAAATAAAAGTCAAATGCAATCTGTGTTTGGGTACCAGAATCTAACCTGCTGTACGTTAAACATGGCGTAGATTGAATGCTCTTTTTTGAGTGATGTTTTTGTTTTTCTATTAGACTCACATGATCAGTCACGCAACAGCTGGAAGCCCAAAGCAATGACCTTCACTCTGAAAACATAATTCTGTTAGAGGAGACACGGTGCACCCAGATTACTGATATTACATTCTGTTGAAAGATCTCATTTTGTAATTGTTCTATATCCACAGAAAAGCAAAATATCATGCCAGATGTCCATCACGGTAAGTGTCCGTTCAACAAGAGTGTAAAGAAAGAGTGGACAGACTTTATATGACAGGCTATGTAAACAAATAGAGGTGGACCGCGCAGGGGTCACTTCACTTCTCCAAGCATTCAGACTGAACAACTTTGGCCACACTTTGGGCATGACCTCATACTGTCTCTCAAACTGGACGACACACATTTGGACACTGCATTAGGGGAATCTTAGGACAACAACATGGGACGAGACTAAAGTCATCTTAAGAACTGTCGTCTGATCACTCTCAAGATGACGGATTCTTCTTTCGCTTCATTTCCCTGTGTCTAGATGAAAATAATGTAGAACATTTTAACTGAGTGTTTTGTTTTCTTTAAAATTCAGGCTTTCATTTTTGAAAAACTGAGCTTAACCCTGACAGAGTGAAGACCTGAATCGGAGCTAAACTGGAGGAGATGATGCCATCTTAATCCTATTAATCATGTTTTACAGTAAAAAAATATAATGACAATGAGTGTGTCTGAAAGCTAAGGCAGCTGCCTCACTGCCCATGTACTTCTCAGGCAGTGTTTGTGTATGAAAGGTACTTCCTTTCACTGGTTTCACAGACTTCCAAGGCACCATAACATCATGTCTAATGATCTGGAACAAATTCATATAAGCTTTAGAAATAATTAGGCAAATTACATGCTAGAAATAGAATTATATGTTGAACAAAAATTAAACAATGGGGATTAATGTATTAGTTTACTTCTTCAGCTGCTCCAATAAGATGCCACTTTTTTTACACACAGGATTGTGGAATAGTGTCAACAATGAAGAGTGCAAAGAGAGAAAAATCTGATGAGATAAAAGCATCTTCGTAAAAAGTATGTTACACAAATATTACCTGCGAAGGCAGCGTTTTTCAGCACTGACTGTATATTTAACAGTTTCTAACTGTATTTCATGTAAATTTAATACACAAACCTATTGAATCTGCAATCCATTTCTAATTATAAAAATGTGTAATGGCAAGTGGGACACAAGTTCAAAATGGGCCTCTCTGGTAACTGTATCCAACAATAAAAAAACAGAGTACAGTGTTAACCAGAAACACAAAACACTAGGTAACACACGGAATAATAAAATATTAAGCAGGTAAATTTGGTCAATTAGATTCTTTTATATATATATATATATATATATATATATATATATATATTTGTAATATGTAAGATAATGATTATGATAAAACGTTCTCCTAAAATATAAAGTAATTTCTTTTTTCTTCTATACTAAGGTAACTAACAGTTAGCCAGTTGCTAGAAGTCTACTCCAGCATTTTTATTTTCCCCGTTTTTACAGTGAATATATTAAAGTTGCCCTGGGGTTACAGCTGAAATTGATCTGACAGCAGTACGTGCCCATGTACATGTATAAAGGTTGCACACGCGTCCCCTGATTCCTCACATCTGCGTTTATTAGTGCGTTTATTTATATTTTGTATTATTTTGTTATGATCCTTATTTAATTTTAGTCAATAAAAAGGGGCGTTCATTCTCCCGATATGTCGTTATACCATTATTAATCTTGAATGAATTTCAGTGCAAGTGATCGTTACAGCAAAGCCTCGAAGCCTCGTGTCAGTGTTTCACCTTAATAACGATAATGAATGAATTTCATACACTGTGATAAAACATTAAGCTCATGCCGAGCTCAAACAGCATAAGGAAGAGGCGAGAACTTACCAGCGGTGTAGACAGATATCCACAATATCCCTGACTGATGCAGATTTTTCACGTTACTGATAAATTACTGCAACCTTTTCACGGGAGACGGTGTGTTTTGAGACCACCTGCCCCAGTCCTAAGGCTTGACACCATCTCGGCTCCCGTTTGCGATCATGATTTCAGAGGAATAATTGACAGGGGCAAAGAGGACGATACCATTAATTATTCGTAGGGGAGACGGTACGTTGCCGCGAGAATGAATACTGAAAAAAAATCGCTGTCGTTTCAAATAACAATGGCATTCAGATGGCAAAGTAATGATTTTCTGGTTATTGATTATTATTTATTATATTTGTTTTTTTCTACAAACTGATTAGCTTGACTCAACAAGTCAGAGAGGTGGGCCTCGATCGAAGCACAATATTCTGCTAATTCAGCTTGAAATGTCAATTCAAATCCTTATAGTGCACTCAAATGTCTTTCCAGTCAGATTTTGAAATTTGTCGCTTCATTAAAGTTTGTAACTACAGCTGTTTGGTCAGTGGGTATTGGTATTTGGTCAGTAAGAGTGAAATCACATATCTAACATAAAATTGTTGTTGTGGGTCTAATAAAAACTCACAGAATCATAGATGGTCGTTTTGTCAAAATGGTTACAATCAAATTGTATGGCCCACCCTGAGAGTCTATGGTCCACCTTACATCTCAAAAAGATGGAGCTTGGCCATTATCGTTACTCATAACTGTTAATACCAGGATTTATATAAAATTATTATGATCAACACTGTTATGTTTCACAAATACTGACATTATCACAGATTCTCTGTATGCATACACGTTATCTGGAATCGTTATCTTAATTAATCTACTTACACATTCATAAATCCAATACAATTTTCACTTAAATGTTCACTGCAATGTCAAAAAGAGATGTAGGTTAATGTAAAATAAAATACCTGACCTACTTAAATCAAAATATTTTATCAGTTTGATAGAAATATACAAATATCATCATTATCATCATCATTGGAATTTAATGATCTATAATATCAAATTAATTTAAATATCAAGATCACATATAAAGTTATGCTTAGTGTACTGATTTATATAGATATAAGGCTTTTTTTAAGCTTAATTAATATATAAACTATAAACTATAATATAGATAATATATAAGCCGTTTATATTTTGCACTAAGCTCACGTTTCAAAATAAACGTTACCGCGTCCTAAAACTGCTTACTATTGGCATTTAAATATTCTTAACCAACGTTAATATGAATAAGAAATTAATACTAGTAAAATACTGTATTTTAGGCTGTGTTCTTATAGTTATATCCAATAACATATGATTTAAAATACATTATAATAGACATTTTTGCTTAATTTACATGTGGACTTCAGCACAAGCAGGAGTTACTGAAACTAATATGAACATACCGAAGGAGGAAAAAGTCTCCATAGGTAATATATGCAAAGTAGTTCAAAATACATAACATACCACAAAAATAACATTACATTTATACATCGATGTGTTTTATTTATTTTGTATTTTATTCTGTTTTATTTTTATTGTTTTGTTCAATCTATTTGTCGAGTTTATATGGACTTTTATTATGAAATATAATGAATTGCCATTACAATCGTCACCTTCAAACACCGGAATCAACCGACAGAACGTTAAATAGCTCATACTGTAATTGACTTGTCAGTTCATCCTCTGAACGTTCGTGGAGTCGCTTGTTGTTGTTTCTAATACAAAATGGGAGCCTGTATGGCTTTGTGTTCTCTTGCGAGCTGTGTAAGTGTTCTGTTTTATTTTTCATGGTTTAGCTAACCGAGTTGCTACCAAACAGCGTCTCTAAATTGTTAATTTAACCGAAAACAGAATAATATAACTAAAAAAAAACATATTAATATAAAATTTACGTAATGGACGGCGATATTTAAATAAAAAATGTGTGGCTTCGAAGAGTTGTACGCTGAAAAACAACAACACAGAAGTGTGCTCATATTTGCATTAAGATTAATTATAGCAGATCCTCCATGGCTTCCTAACAAATAACAATGATATTATTAACTGAACCATTTATAGAAATTATACAGCAATGCAGGGGATAATATTTCAGTCAAGCCAAGCCAAGCCAGCTATTAGGCTAATTGTTTTTGAGTAATGTAGTCTTTGGTGTGATTTGGTCTTCTTGTAGTTAAGTAATTGAGGATAACAATTTGGGTTCAACTGTAATAATGTCCCTTGCACATTTTCAAAGAACTGAAACGTACACATCAGCTTAATACAGAAATGTAAAAGTGAAGGTCTGACTTGTGTCAAGAAAAAAAAAATCAGTTTGAGCTGAAAATGTTGGTAGGTTGTTCAGCTGATCAGCAACTCCCAGCATGAGTAACGGTTTTAAAATGAACATTTATACAGTATGCATGACTGGATTTATAAGGGCCAAAGTCTTTAACAAAGATTTCCTCATTGTTTCCTCCAACAAACCAACAAAACAATCCTTCCTTCTGCCGTCATATACAAATTAGGGCATGAATGTCATTCACTTACACTTTGACCTAAAGGAATTGTTCAAAGAGGCCAGAAAAAAATGTAAAAATAATTCGAACAAATGTAATTATACTGGTTCAGATTTACACACCCTGTAGGTTCTCATTGTCAAAGCCTTTTTTTTTTTTTCGGACAAAATAACATTTTTATTATTCCAGGTGCAAAAAAATTATTATATGTGTTTGTGTGTGTGTGTGTGTGTGTGTGTGTGTGTGTAAGTAAAGTATAAATAATATAAATAAAGTATAAATAAAGTAAAAGAGAGCTGATCTTTATCAAAACTTAATACGAGGAGGGAATTTATATATATATATATATATATATATATATATACTATAGTTTATTATTATTTATTTATTTGAAAAATTAATGCTTTTATTGTTATTCAGAATAAAAGATGCATTAATTTGATCAAAAGTGACAGTGAAGACATTGTTTAAAAAGATTTATATTTAAATAAATGCCGTTCTTTTGAACTTTCTATTCATCAAAGAATCCTGAACATAAGGTATTATGGCATTATGGTTTCCACGAAATTATTAAGCACCACAGTTTTCAGCATTGCTAGTAATAAGAAATTAGCATATTAGAATGATTTCTGAAGGATCATGTGACACTGAAGACTGGAAAATATTCATCTTTGTAGTCAAAGGAATAAGTTACATTTTAAAATATAATAAAATGCAAAACTTAAAATAGTTACTTTAAATGATAATAACATTTCAAAATTGTACTGTTTTGTTTCGTTTTTGTCAAATAAATGCAATCTTTGTGAGTGTAAGAGACATCCAAAACATTTAAAAAAAAAAACTCACAACCCCAAACAATCTTTATCAGCACAATATATATTAAATTGTATAATGTTCTGCAGATTCTTTTGTGAACTATGGCATTTTAACAATAAATGCTTGAACTGGTGATAATTGCTCTTGCTCTTACTCCCTCTGTGTTACAGGCCTCGTGTTTGTGTGGCTCCGCTCCATGTCTGCTCTGTGGCTGTTGTCCTTCTTCCAATAACTCCACCGTCACTCGGCTGCTCTTCTCTTTCTTCCTTCTGCTGGGGACACTGGTGTCTGTAATCATGATCTTGCCTGGCATGGAGACGCAGCTCCGCAAGGTGGGCACACCATCAGTCTAAATTTGCCTCACTTGTGCTTTCATTGCAGTGTGTTAATTTTCTGTTTTTAATGTCTCTTCAGATTCCTGGCTTTTGTCAAGGAGGAACCACAATACCAGGGATCGAGAACCATGTCAATTGCGACGTGATTGTAGGCTACAAATCAGTGTACCGCATGTGTTTTGCTATGGCATGCTTCTTTTTCCTTTTTTCTGCAATCATGATTCGTGTAAAGAGCAGTAAAGACCCTCGTGCTGCTATTCAGAACGGGTAAGCCCATTATTATTATTTATATACCGTTTCATTATTATGCTACTGTTATTGTAACATTTACTAAATTAATTGAAAATGAAATTAGCTTGATTTCATCATTGAATATTTTGTCAGGTTCTGGTTCTTCAAGTTTCTGATACTTGTTGGCATCACTGTCGGAGCCTTTTTCATTCCGGATGGAACATTTCATGATGGTACATTTTAGGTTGAACTATTCTGTTAACTGCACATAACAGAACAATTTCCATTTTCATATATTCTCATAGGGAAATACAAAAAGGCAATGACAACATGGCAAAGATGTTAAGCTCTAAATGCAGCAATAGTCATGATAATGTTATTCTGGGAAGCCATTGTCATAACGCAGGGCTAAATTTCAAGGGATGCAGAAAACGCCTAGTCTCCTGCAGGGAAGAAGTCAATTACTTTTTAATGACTGTTTTGAATGTTATGAGATGCATGGGAAAAGACCGTATTAAAAGTGGAATAGGATGTTATTATTTTTTTATAGCATATTACATTAGCAGTGAGAACACGTTGTTACTGTCTTGCCAGAATTCTCATGGTGTGGAATTAAAGATGCAGAACATTGTGTTCAGAGATCATGGGTAACTTCCAGAACAAGATCTTGACATTAGTATGTTTCATTGTGAATTTAAGTATGAGAATATGGGCCCTTCAGAGAAGCATGTTTTATTAAGCATAGTTATAAATATAGTTTAACATGTTCACCCAAAAACTACAATTCTTCCCCTCGTGTTGTTCCAAACCTGTGTGACTTTCCTTTAATCTGTGGAACACAAAAGAAGATATTTTGAGAAATGTCCCATTGTGGTTTTTTTCTGTCTGTACAATAAAAGTCGATGGTCACTAGAAGCATTTGATTACCAACATTTTTTTAAATATCTTCGCTTGTGTTTCACTGAAAAAAATAAATCATACAGGTTTGGAATGACATGAGGGGGAGTAAATGATGACAGAAGTTTCATTTTTGGCTGAACAACTTTTTTCTGTGTTCAGATTTTAATAGGATTCCTGAATACAATATATTATTCTGATATGCACCCCTTTGAAAGGCTTCAACAATCAATGTCTCTATTGGTTACTTGTCTCTTGCCATTTTTATTGAAAGCAACTGATGGTACACACCAGAAATTAAAGACATGAAATGGCATTTAAAATGCATTTAACATCCATTAAGTGATTTTAGTGATTGAGTTACAAAATATTTCTATTTCAAAT